TTGGATAGAATCGAGCACTCAAAGCGCACGAAATTTACGTAAAGCAATAAATAAAAAATAAATTTGAAGTCAGTGGTGTTTTGTTATACTTCGTTGACCGAATTCCTGGGAAACTAGAAGGGTTTCAACTTCGCCGAGGTTAATTAGCTATTTTGTTGTTAGGCAAATTGGTCGTGGAAGGATCGAGGTCGGTCGCGTTTTAACAATAAATCGTCGCCATGCGACTTTTTCCACCAACTTGAACTACAGCAAACGTGGCTGCGGAAAAGAAAGAAAAAGAAACCACGGAGTATCGTTCGTTTCGCGATAAAATTCGTCCACGATCTGCAGATGTCGCTGGGAAAAACGTTGGAAATGATCGATCGCGAAACGAAATCATAGTAAACCGTGGTATAATTCCTAGTGTCGATCCTGTTACGTTCATTTTCCTCATATATCTATTTCTTCTCTCGTTTCGTTCCATCTTCTACCTCGATCGACACTTTCGTCGTTAATATTTATCTTTTCCGCGATTCCTTTGCTTCTCTAACGACACTCACTCGAGATAACCGTGTTTTTTTAACATTTTTCATTTTGTCTTTCCTACTGTAGTACTGTATTCTACCGAGACCTTCCGGCGCGAACCATTAAGTGCTTTAAATTTAATTCATTAATTTAATTAATTAGCTGATTTAAAGATCGAGAATGGTTAATCCACCAATCGAGGCGTTATCGATTATAGTTTATATCCTCTACGTATTATTATTATTATTATTTTTTTTCCTTTAAATCGTTCCTGTAACATCATTAACAACGTGTTTTTTTTTTTGTCCTTTAATTATTATTTTGTAACCATTATAATAGTATTTAAAAGATAACGTGATTGGTTGTCGCGTCAATGCCAATGGCCAAAACGTGCTATAGTTTGCTCTGCTTTTTTTTTCGCAATATTTTTTCTGTTTTTCTCGTTTTCGCTTTTGCCATATGTTCAACAAAACCCGCCTGCGAGACTATCCGTTAACGAGATTCCGATGCTTTCTCTCTTCCTCCATTTGCGTTGCCAAGTTTCTTCGTTCATAGGTTAATAATTGTCGAGTGTTTCTCCAGTCTCTTCTTGCTCGACACTGTCGTCGAGACTGCGTTTCTCTACGTTTCCGTCTTTTCTTTCGCGTTTTTTGAGCCTTCGTTTTCACTGCTTTTCATTCTCCGCGAGAGGAATAAATTCTTCTGCTCTAAGGGAGCTAAGGTTTGGTTCTTTAACGCGCTTCGCGTACTCATCAAGCACAGGTGGAATCTTTACGAATAATTTCTGCGTCTAAAGATATGCTTCTCTATGGCTGTTCTAACCGAGCTGGTCTCGCGTGGCTAGTCGAAAGTAGACGGTGCGTTAATAGGATTTCTGTCACGTTGAAACAACGCCGTGCCGTGGCCAGTGATCGAAATTAATTAACGGGAAAATTCGAAACCGAATGCAAACAAAGTAAAGGTATCGGTGGAAAATTTCGCAATTTTTCCAATTCCCGGGAATTATCGAGAGGCGTAGTTCGTAGAAGAAAACAATGGTGAAATTTCCACGGAGACGCAATTATAAAATCGGCATCGTTGAACGCGCGAAGCAAGGAATTACGCGGAAAGGCTGGAACGCAGTTCGAGAAATACGGGAATTATTATTACACGTTTGAGTGGAGAGCGCGGCAGGGCGTTGTTTCAATGTAAGCACAGCCTGAAACGAGAGGAGGTGAAGCAAAACCGTCGGGTCATTGAAATTAACGAAGTACAGCATGAAACCAAATGTTGCTCGAAAACACGGTGACACATACAGCTTGCAAAGGAAATCCTATTTCCCGGCGACGTTGGTTCGTCCGAGCGTCTCCGCGAACCTCGAGCCAGTCACCAGTCAAAATATTAAATGGAATATCGTATTAAATACTGAGCATTCGTATATATATATTGACTAAAATGTTTCCTGCTTCTAGACCGGTGGCTGGTGAGGATTTTAGAGGGACGCCGGCAGAGGAACGACGATGCGCGTGCAACTTAACCGCTACGGGTAGCTCCATTTCGAAACTCGGGCCTGCCGCGGCCATCTTGTTCGCAGGTGATCGAAATGGATCTCGCAGCGAGGATTAAGCACGACGTTGGGAGGTTCGACTTGGTCGAAGACGATACGATCCCCGATCAACGCGAATACTTATGCAACGAGGGTAATCGTTGGATGAATATGCCCCTAGGTAGCCTGATCGACAGCCGTTTGGAAACGCACGAGGGAAGAATTTTCGAGCGTTGTTCGATTATTTCCCTCGAATTGCCGCGATAGCTTCGGCAGGAATGGGATTCCTCTTTGCAGCGACAAACAAGAAAATCAATCGGAACTGCTGTGCGTCCGTTGACGGATAATCCGACGTGGGTACTTTCACAGACGAACTGCAAATGGTTTGGCCATTTAAGGCGAGTAGCGTGCGGTCGAAGAGCAAGAGATTAATCAAGGATCAGGCCCCGGCGATCGCTCGAGATCTCGTTGTTCGGTTCATATTCGGACCGTCGAGCAGCGAATCGGCCCCGGTACCGGTTCGAAGAACGTGGAAAAGTGTAATGAGAACCGGGCAGCCGTTCGGGATGATTCGAAAGGAAGCGACGCGGTCGTCCGTCCATCGAGGATCATCGAGATTCGCTTGGTCCGAAGCCGACTCGACTTAAAAAAGTAAATATACACTAACAGGCTCGAGTTGCTTTGGAATCGCGCCGCGAGTCCCGGATCCGATCGCGAAGGTGGACGCCTCGTTTCGTGGGTGGTGAACGTCGGGTTCGCCGGAAGTCACGCGAGATCTCGAGGATGCGAAAGCCTGCCTCCCTGGAACGTTAGATCGAAAAAGTTTTGCGCGTGAATCCGTGTAGGTTTCATGTCTGTTTGAGTCCTTGTGTGTGTGTTCGTGTAGGTGGACGTGTAACGCGTGCGGAGTAGAACGCGATGGACGTGTTGGCGTGTTAACGTGTGTGAGAGAGAGTGTGTACCGTGTGTGCGCTTGTACAAGCGTGTACAGAGGGACAACAACAAACGATGTCCGCCGATAGAAGGGAAAGAAACGCGTAAAAATGAAGAAAGATGCTGCGCTAAGTCAATCGTCATCATCGTCATCATTCCATTCGGAGTCATCCATTGCCCGTCATTCTCTCTCTCCCTTTCTCTCTCACTCTTTCTTTCTCTCTCTCTCTCTCTCTCTCTCGCTCTCGCAACAAGCTCTCTCTCTCAGTCTCCCTTGCTCAAACGCCCTTTGTCTTTCTCTCTGTCTCTCTCGTTCTTCCTTTCTCTCCTCTTGCTTACGCCGAATTTCTCTTACGAGCTAACAAAGAACAGTATTTATTTTTTTGTTTCTTTTGGTTTTAAACGCCGCGCCGTCGCACGCCATCTTATAATCGTAGTATAAATCCCCCGTTTTATTTCAGTTGTCGTCGATTTACTTACTAGTGATACGGATAATAAAATTCACTGGCATTGATTTGAAACATCTTGGCAGTTCATTGTGTGTAGTTATTACCTTTACTTATTATTCTCTCGTATGTTTTTTTTTTTTTGCTTTTTTTCTTTTTTGTTGCATTTTCAGTTTTTCAGAATATTTTAACGTGTGCGCTTTGCTCTTAATCGTGTGTTTTCATACGTCTGTTTTCCTCCGTTCCTCTATTTTCCCCTTTGTTTCTCTTTTAAGCACAATAAAAGGAGCAGTGTACCCTTCTTCAGCTTCTCTCTCTTTTGTTTGTATCTCTCTTTCTCTCTCTCTTGTTCTCCCTTTCGCTCTCTCTCTCGTGTGCTTTCTCTCCCTCTCTTTCTCTCCCTCTCGTTCGCTCTTTCACGAGACTCTCTCTCTCTCTCTCTCGCTCTCTCTCGCTCGCTCTTTCTCTCTTTCTCTCTCTCTCTCTCTCTCTCTCTCTGGCTGGACACGGTCGTATACAGGACCGAACGAAAAATCGTTTCGTGGTCGTGGAGCGTACCGTGAAAACTCGATTTATCCTTTAACAAATTCAAACGCTTCGACGGTCCTCGGTGCTCTATGTTTCCATGTTCGGTCTCTTGCTGATGTATGCGTGTATATGTGCGTGTACGTGTATGCGTGTTCGTGTTCTACACGCGTGTACGCAGATTTATTTGCATCCCGTGCAACGATTGCCGAAGCGAGTTTCGAAGACGAACGTTCCAGTTCGTGCTTTCAGCCGGACAGATTCGTGGCGCGATTTCAAGTAGAGCAGCTTCCAGATAATAAAATCCTAGCGACGACGTTGTTAGATAGGCAGCGATTCCTTCAACTCCAGGACGACGCGCTGGCCAACTCGTGAAGCGTAACTCAGGGATTATAAGGAGAACAAAGGCGATTTTCTCCAACCTCCATTGATCGTGTCTCTTCCCTCGGATCAAGGAGAAGCAACGTCCACGGGAACGCATAACGAATTAACATCCTCGGTGAATGGAATTAACATCCTCCATGGGATTAGAGTTTCCACGATGCGGTTGGAAATCACGTTGCCGGTGAATGGAAATTCATCGGGCGCACCCCGAGTTCTTCGAGGCTTGGAACGGAAACGGAAAATAGGGGAAAGAAACGTACGCTACCTTCGATCCACCAGTCGGTTTACGTCATCGCGTCGCTAACGTCCAATTTTCGTTGAAAAATCGCGTCAACTCCAACCGAAAGGAACTTCAGGCTCTCGATCCTTCGCGTTCCACACCCCTATCGTGGCACAACAAATACCAGGGATGCACATACCTCGGCGTGGCCGGCGTGTTCGTATGCTATCGTGTGTGCGTGTACATATGAACGCGCGCGCGCGCGCGCGCGTGTCAGTGTCCTTTTAACGCGCCTGTGTAGGCGCATTTTCAACGTGTCTCGCTAAGGCATCCTCTTCGAATGAACTACGTGACGAGATATATATCTCTCTTTATATATATATATTTTTTATATATATGTATATCGTAAAGAATACGAAGAGCCTAGTGTCCTCGCATCGTTCTCTTGCTATCACGGTGCGGATCTCCCGAAACGAGGCGTAACACGACTCTGGGGCTCGATCCCGATCAGCTGAACATCCAAGCGTAGGAGAAACATCGTTGTGAACGTTGTCCGCGGGATCCAAGCGTGGACCAGGTCGTCGTCATAGTCTTCGTCACTGTCGTCGTCATCGTCGTCGTCGTCGTCGTCGTCGTAGTCATCGTGTTCAGCTCCTGCACGTTCGCGTTCCTCGCCGTCCGCACTGATGCGCAGCACACGATCCTCGTCGAGCTCCAACATTACGCCGGCTATTTCATCTTTTTTGAATCACTTGACGATGATGTGTGGCGCCGACAGTAGGACGGTGATGGTTGCGATGATGGTGAACAGAGTAAAAATTATTAGGCACACTCTGTCTACCACCATCGCCGCGAACTTCCAGTCGTTCTTCACTTTTGCGTTCTTGTCCTCGCTCTTCATCTGATCCGTGATTATCTGTAACAGGGATATGCCGGGTATGATGCATGGCTCTCGTTTCCAGGGCGTGCGGATTAGACGGAAGATGGCGGAGTTCGCGGGAACGTGGAAATTCGCGGGGTTTCCGTGCTGGCATGCTTCGTGATTGTTAGGATTGCCGTCACGGCGAGGAGAGTAATCCTAAGTTCAAAGGGTAAATTTATAACGAAGAAGGCGGCGTTAACGATTTGACACCTGGCTCGATTCGAACCTGGATAATTTTGCGAATATTCGTCGAGGTATAGCTGTTCCCGTGGTTCCAAAATTGGAGAAATTTCATATCTAATTTGTACGAAGAAAGTACAGTATTTACAGAACGTGAGAGATATTTCGATTTTATTACTTGATAATTTATTAACAAAATACGGTCTATTCTTTAAGCGTTACTCCAGCATCCGCACGATACCAACATGGCGTCCGCAGCCGTCAAAATGTCGGCGAATATAAATTCGATAATAAATTCCTCGTATCGCTCATCGTTAAACGAAACACGTCCATTTGCGAATACTTCATCGGATATGCAACTTGGTCCAGAAATAAGAGCAAATGGTTAATATATTACACCAAGATTGCACCTTTTGCTGCGTAGATTCGGCCCGTGAAATATTAATGCGTAATTGAGAAACCCCGGAGCGCGTTTGAAATTACGCCGAGCACATTTGTTGCGTTGCCGAATGCATTAATACGAAGCATCGCGATAATATGCACCGAAAGTCCCAATTTATCCTTTAACGCGGTCTCTCTACGACTTTCTAACTCTCCGCGACTTCCTAACTTTCCGGCTGGTGCCATCAGGGACCAATCTGTTTAGCCAGCGAATAAGCAATCACGAGGCAAGCTGAAGTTCTGCGTGAACACGTATAATAATCATCAGCCGGCTAAAAAGTTAATCACAAGCCCGGGTCGGCAATTTGACGGGATCAGAGAGAATTCGCAGCGGAGAATAAATTATAGACAATCCTGTCGAGTCCCGACGACGATCATTTCCACGTAAGAATCTATTAGGCAGTTTCTTCCCTCGGAACGTAGAACGGGATCCTGGAAACTTCGCGGAATACGCAACGACTGTGACATTGTCTGCGATTGTCCCTATCACGGGACCACGGGCGAACTCGGAACTTCCCATCTAATATACGGTCCGTAATTATGAACACCGATAGGTATTCGAGTGTTTGACTTTGCCGTGTCAGTAGCGACTGGAGAAATGGACGGGCTTTAATAATCCTGCACAAACAGTAGTACAACAGAGAATGGTTTCACGTTCGTCAGCATACCTCGCCGCTACGTGTTCCGTTATTATACTACATGCGACTTTACACGAAAGTTTCTGCACTTACGGGCAAATTAAAATGAGTGTACACTTGGTAATTAGCTGAAGTACCGCAGCGTATATTTCGCAAGAACTCGCTAATTGTCATCCTCATTATTATTAACGGACGACACTTCTTTCTATTAAAAATAAAGAAGCGGCTCAAGTTCGTAAACGTTGCAGTGCTGCAGAGTGCAGATGCTTGTTTATGAAAGAGAGTCCCGAATTAGTCGTGCGTGTAACGAGTTCCTAATTCGTTTTAATGTCTACCCTGCTATGCATTGTTGCTTCCGAGCGTAAATAAAATACATATTTACCGTGTAACTTGCCAGCTGGCGAGTATTATTCTTTCGCTCTGCAGGTCGTTGCTGAATAAAAATATTCATCGACAATTCCAACAAATTTACAACGAACCTGATAACGTACCTAACGATGGACATGGATTAGGAGTAAGAAGCAAAATGGAGGGAATAGTATTCGGTTTTTCCTTAACGCTGAATCTATTGACGATTTCGGTCAAATGACACCTGTTCGTGAACGCAGATTATATCCTTTGCAATTGGATAGAGATAACAATGGAAAAGAACAATGAAAAGTTTTGGTCAGTCGTTTAGGTAGGTTCAGCGTTGAAGAATAGGCTGCGATTCAATTATGTTAGCAAACTGCTGGCAAACAGCAAAGGAGCCGCAAGAAACGTACCTTAATTTCTTTGAGGATCATAATGAGCTCGTTTCGGGCACAGAAACACGCGTTCTGAAGTATCGTTTCGACCTGGGGGCCTGACGTCTCAGCCGGATGTGGATGATGATGCGGCGTGTGACTGATCTGAATCGTCCCCGGATAAGTGGAGTGTGCCAATGGCGTTGCGTGTTGATGATGCGGCGTCGCAGCATGGCTGTGATGATGATGGGGCGTCGTGTGTATGTGGCTGTGCCCATGGCCCATCGTGTGATGGTGAGGGCCAGGGGTACTGTACACGTTGTTCAAGAGGTCATTGCGAGACGCCAGTGCATTGTCATCGAGGTCCAGCACATTCGCTAGGAGGGACTTGCTGCTCCTTTGACGAAGCTCCAGGTCGTGACTCTTGCTACCGCCTGTTTAGATAAATTGTTACGATGAGTGCAAAATAATTGGCACCACTCTGGGCTTCCTTATATTCCTAACGAAATTGAGAAAAATGAGAAACAGATAAGGGGAGGAACTGAGTGACGAATACTACTATACTTTGGCTTTCTTGAATTTTAGAGGTAGGAGATATTTTACAGATATTTTTTGAATTTCAGGAACGTTGGAAAAATAAATAAATAATTCCAGGTAGATGTTCCTTTGAGAAATAACACGATATAAATAACGTGATAATATTGTAGCAATTTCCTAACAAGACTGTCAAAAATATTTATAACGAAATAAAGGAAAATGAGAAAGAGACGAGGGGTTGAAAACTGATTGACAAATACTACTATACTTCCATTATTTCTGGGCTTTAAAATCGAGAGACATATTACACAAGTTCTTCAATCTCCTAAGTATATGTACAGACGATAAATTATACATTTATAAAGAGGTTTATCAAAAAGTTTAAAGTTAGAAAATGTATATACAATACGTCTAGCAAAGGATAAGTAAGTATGTGAAAAGAGAAATGGGTAGTTAATTTCTGCCAACATTTTACTTCTTTGATAATTAACGATACTCGTATCTCGTTCAAGTATGGTTACACACATGCATACGACTCGAAGTAAGTCAGGTGTGCCTTGGAGTGCTGTGTGCACACTTCGGTAACGAGTGACTGAGAACAGTGTTTGTGTGACACAGTTAAACATTTATATAAAACACATATAGTAGTAAATGTTGTCAGTACTTATGTCGATGCTTTTTCGTGTCACTAAATTACCAGTGACTGGAGACGGTTTTTGAGACTTTTGCGCCTCTCTCTCTTCTTTGTCACCTGGTCGTGACATACGTAGTATAAAAGGCAGCCAATAAAGGAATAGCACTTTCACCTGAAAATCAGATTGGTAATATAATTCTCTGCATAACAGATCAATTTCGATCTACATATCTAATCGATCATTCAAATTTCGAAATTCTCCAATTCGAGCTTTACACGTCAACACGACCTTTGCACTCGAGAGGCAATAATTAATTTAATTAAATTCTAAAAATCGATGTTAATTAACATATCGAAGTATAATAATTCTACGTCATAATACGTATAGCATTACTTATTGACCGTTCTAAAAATATCGTTCATTTCATGATAGAAAGTTTTTGAATTACTATTTTTCTGCAAAATCGAGTGCAAAGGGTTGAATGTACGTCGATGTAAAATGGCGCGAGTACTATACGTTAAATGGTATGGAGAAAGAAACAAGTTGACAGCAAACACGGTTTACGATTTTCTCATAATCGGTGGAATACAGTAGATAATAAAATCGGAGCAAGGTGGAAGCTCAGCATGACTCGAAAGGGCGAATTCAGTTAACAAGCAAAGTAAATCTGAAGTATACTTGGAAGCACATGAGCTCGCGTTAATTGAAGTCGCATATAGGATAAGATTACCCAAGAAACCAGTTTGCTCGGACAGAGAAAATAGTTGAATCCTGCGATTTTAGCCGGAATAAATAAAGCCGGATATTAAAGCTTAATAAACGTAAATATTACTTCATTAAAAAGCGCGTCGCAGTAATTTCCGCAAGGGAAAACGTGGTTCTCCGCTTTTTCTTTTAAATCCGAAATATGTACGCTCGGCATGCATTTATGCCGGTTTAAATTCTCGAAAATACTTTGAAGAAAAATCATTCCGGGCTAACCAGGATAAACTAGATCAAAGAGTTTGTGTCTCGAATTAATTTGATGAAAGGACAGCTTACCCATTCAGACATTTCATGAGTATCAGCATTCCGGTGATGATAATTTAAAATCATAATGGTGCTGACAACACTGCTGGCCACCATAAACATAATACAGTTGAAGTATGTTCCTGTGGAAACATGGAAAAGTTGAGGGAAAGCGTGACTGATGCGACAGGATTTGCCGAATTAAAATTAATCGATCACTCGCGAGTCGTGGGTCGTTATCGATATCGTTCCAATCGAAATCGCGGATTGACAGCAATCCCACCGATCCAAATATCAATTTCAAAACGCTCGCCTCCCCATCATGGTATCAATGGACGTTGGTTGTCCAACCCCGTGTCTGACCCGCGCGATCTGCTACTACTGTCATGCGACTACTGTCACTCGACTAGTTCTGACTGTAATAGGGAATCCTCGGAGGAGGATAAAGGACTGTGCACAATAAGCCTCGCTCACATTACGGTGCACTGATCAGATACGAGTGATAACTCGAGAGCGCTGTACAAGCTTCTAAATAGGATGGATTTCCAACGAAGAAATTTTGCAACCCTAAAGGATTCTCTTTATGCTCCGTCACGTAGCATAAAGGTACACTTTGGCAGAAAATTGGCAGAAAATCTGCCAGATGACGATTTCCGATTTTCTCCGGTGAAGAGTCACAGAGAAGACGAAACGTGGTGAAATATGCTAACATCGAGATCTAGGCATCGAGATCTAGGCTGGAAAGACAAGGAAGATATCCTTCGACCCTCTTAACAGCTCACCCTCGTCGACTCTCGAATAGTTTACGCTTGGCAATAGGTTATCTATCAACGAACAGTCAGGTTCGTGTCAATTGACCATCGCGTTGTCTGATAGGAAGTTTAACGAAAAATTCGAGAACATATAACCTCGAGGTAACTTAACCTTTTAGGTACGGCTGAATTTTACTCGAAGAGATTTCTGGGGACGGTAGAGTCTGACACGAACTACATATAAGCGATACAGCACTAAAATGTGTGACAGAAAACGCTGTTCTCTACGCGAGTACATTAAAATGAAGTTATCTATGATATGATTATAAATTTTCTTAAAATATATTACACATACTTTAACTTCAACAATTCA